GGCGGGCGCTGACTCGGCTCCTTGGATTAAGCAGGGGCTTAGCGTTTATGGACCTCCCTGGCCTCTGGCTGGGCCGGGAGCAGGCAGCGGAAGCGGATCTGCATGGGCGGCAGAGGCCTCAGCCAGGCCAGCCAGGCTGCAGGGATTTGGGGCAGGAGGCGCCCGGCCAGAGCTCTGGAGCCAGGTAAGGGAGGGCAGATGGTCCTGGCCCCGTTCTGGGAAACTCGTCCCCTGCCAAGTTCTATCTGTGTCTGCCTGGCGAGCTGGGAGAAGCCCCCGAGGGCCACAGCCCGCAGCAGGCACCTGCCAGGTGGTGTCGGGTGGGCGGGAGCTGGCACATGTGTGCCTGCCTCCCTGGGGCTCTGCGTCGCAGTGTCCACGGCCTGCCCGCCAGAGGGCTGGTGGCGTTGTCGGCCAGATCTACCTCCCAGGCCCTGGAACGGGTGCCTGGGCCGTGGCCAGCGCCTGGCCTGGTAGGTTTCGGCCTGCAGAAGACCCAGCCATGGTTTAGGCCAAGAGGGGGCAGGATGCTGGGTCCCAAGCCAGGCACTTGCAGGGGCCGCCCCATCTCCCTGGAAGCTACAGGCCCTTCCTCTGGTCCCAGTGGACGCCCAGGGTTGCCTGAGCAGGCACATTCCCTCCAAAGCAAGGCCAACCGGGGAGGAGTAACAGCTGGGCCTAGGTTCCAGCCCAGTGGCTGTGACCTGGGCCCAGAGTCCAGCCTGGTGCAGCCTTCTTCAGATCCTGGCTTTTACTATTTGCTGAGGAAGTCCAGGCCGGTACAAGTGTTAAATAACATAAAAGAGCAGACCAGTTATGAAAAGCCTTTTGGGCACACCTGGTAACCAGTATTCAGACTTCACATGGGGCGTGGTGGTGCACACCTGTAATTCCAGCCCTCAGGAGGCTGAGGCAGGGGAATCTCTGAGTTCGAGGCCATCCTGGTCTACACAGTGAGATCAAGGACAGTCTGAACCACATAGCGAGACCCTGTCTCAAAAAAAGAGCCAAAAAACCCCAGGCCCCACCCCAGGCCCCTAGCAGCTTCTCCCGTGGCTGGCTGGCGGCCCTTTAGTCCACATACCGAACCTCTCCAGGCTGGAGCCCCAGGCTACCACCTCCCCCAGAGGGCACACATACTTGTGGACACTGGCACCAGATTTTCCTTGTCAGCAGGCTGGGGGCCTGGCGCTGTGCAAACAGGCAGATTGTTGAGCAGAAAGAACGGCCCTCTGTGTCCGTCCGGCAGAGCCCAGGGCAGACCCTGCTTCCCAGCTCCAGCCCCTGGCAGATCTGGTCTGCGGGTGTGGGGTGCAGGGCCTGCTTGCTCCAGCAGGCACTGCCTGACCTTGAGCTCCTTCCTGGGTGCTGGCTTCCAGGTCAGGGGTGGCCCCAGGAAGAAAACTGGCAACTGTGTCCCCGAGGACCCCAGCAAGCCACCCCACATCCAGCCCACCTGGGCCGAAGCTCAGGATGTGTGTGTGGGAGGCTTCTTGCCTTAAAATTTTATTATTATTTTTTCTTTGTGAGAAGGTCTCACTGTGTAGCCCAGGCTGGCCTCAAAGTCATGATGATGCTCCTGCCTCAGCCTCCTGAGTACCGAGATTACAGGTGTGCGCCACCACGCCTGGCTTTGCCTTAAAATTTCAATTGCTTGGCGGGGAGCATATGCTTGTCATCCCAGCTACTTGAGGGTCTGAGGCAGGTTGTTTGAAAGCTCAAGGCCAGCCTGGGGAAGGTAGCGAGACCCTGTCTCAGAATAAATAAAAAGGGTTGGGGGTGTAGCTCAGTGATAGGGTGCCCTGGGTTTGAGCCCCAGTACTGCAGACAAAGACTGCATAAAACGCTGTACTTGGAAGCCAGCTAAAGTCTAGCATTTTCTCTCTGGCTTTGTGACTTCTGGCCCTGCAAGCATCTTATCTCTGTCCACATTCACCTCTCCCAGAAAGCTCTTGGCAGGGTGGAGCCTTATCTCTCCCCAGGGACAGTAGGAGAGGGCTACCTGTGGCCACAGGTCCCACATGCTTAACTTCAAGCCCTCCCGAAAGACTCTCTGCCTACTCACAGGACAAGCAGGGCCTGAACAGGGTGGCAGAGACCAGGACTTGCCATCTTGGGCAGAGCTCCAGGCACACCTTGTGTACAGATGTTTAGGTTGTGCACTGCACAAGGACAGTTTGAAAGGGGAGCCAAGCTGTGCCAAAGGGGCTGTCTCTACCAGAAGAGGGTGACGTTTATCAATATTCGCCCCAGCCCCTAGGAGCAGTGGGCACTGGCTTTGTGCATTCTCCCTAGGAAGCAGTGCTTGGACCTGGATGTCCTGCGGTCTCCTGTGGCTTTATCTTTAGAGTCTCCCTTGAGGGACTTGCCAGAGGCAAAAGAACCCCAAACACTGGTCCCAGTTAGACCCAACATGGCAAGTCCTCAGAGTGAACTGGCTGGCCTGAGGGGCTGCAGGATTAGCCTGACACAGAGCAGACCTGGGCTGCACCTCATTGTCCTTTTCTGGCCATCCACTCCTTGTGAGGTCCCACTGTGCAGAGGCAGACCTTCTATTTTATTATCTGTTGATATCCCCCTTTCAAAATAAGAGACCCTACCTCCGTGCCAAGGTCTAAGTGCTCTGTTTAAAGCATGTTGATTTGTAGACAAGGACTAACATGAGCTGGACCAAATTCATTGCACCCATGAGGATCTTTCGGGTCCCAGACACTGCCGGTGCTGGGAAAGTGGCCTATCACAGCCCTGTCCTCCAGGTGTCACCTAGGTATGGGTAGGAATTGTGCAGGGTGGGAATTGCACAGGGTGGGAATTGCGCAGCAGGGCCTTGAGGAGGAGATGGCATGGCGGGCACTGGCAGGCTCTACTGCCCAGTGCTGGGCCCGGTATCCCCCCTGCCTGCCCAGTTTCTGGCAGGGTGCAGTTCCCCATCAGCACGACAGGTGGCAGCACCGGGAAGGGCACCCGGGTACTCTCTGGCTGGCCTCAGGGCCTAGCCAAACACTGATCCCAGTCCAGGGCCCAGTCTGCAGCCAGCAGTGCCCTGTCTTTCTCCCCTTGGAGGCCTGCAGCACCAGCTGTGCCCTGAGCCGCCCTTTGTTTTCTTGTTTTGAGACAGATTCTCGCTATGTAGTTCAGGTTGGCCTTGAACTTGTGGTGATCCTCCTGTCTCAGCCTCCCAAGCCTAGGATGACAGGTGTGTGCCACCAGGTCCCATGTGAGCCTTGTCTTCTTTTTCAGCCTTGTTTCTCAAAGTGAGACCCAGGAAGCGAGTTCAGACCATTCCAATAACAACAAGGTAGTGTTTGCCCTTTTCACCCAAGTTCTGTCATGGGAACATGGTGGAATGTTCTAGAGGCCTGAGGACATGTTGGCTACTAGCTGAATGTTCTTTTTTTTGGTACTGGGGATCGAACTCGGGACCTTGTGCTTTCGAGGCAGGTGGTGGCACCACTGAACTACATCCCCGGCCTTGATGTATGTTCTTGTACTGAAGAGATGCCTGCGTGTTCGTTTCTGAGGTAGTCGATGCCAGTAGACATAAAGCCTGGTAGACAGTCTTGAGATCCCTGATGAAGTGTCTAAGCCAGGCGCAGTGGCATATGGGTATCATCCAGCCCTTGAGTGGCTGAGGCAGGAGGGTCACAAATTCAAGTCCCTTTTGGGCAACTTAGCTAGACCCCCATCTCAGTTACAAAAAAAAGGCCAAGCTGTAGGTCCGTGCAAAGGCCCTGCCTTCAGTCTCCAGGGCACACAAGCAGAACACAGAGCTCGAGAAGAGAGTGCATTTGACAGAAGGTGGCCGCTGTCCCCTGACTGTCCGGGAAAGGGGGGCAGGTGCGAAACTGGCCCCTCCAGAGGGGCAAGGTCTGTTGGGTGATCACAGTGCCCCGCGTGGGTCCCCGCAGTCAGGGCTGGCCCTGTGGGAGCAAGTAGGAGGGCTCGCGGGAGCCCAGGGCAGAGCAGAGCCAGCCCCTTGCTGGCCTATTTTGCTCCGGAACTGCCCTGCGGGTGAAGCCCATGCGGGCGCGGGTGCGGATGCCCACCGCTTCGAGGCCACTTGATGGTTTATGGACAGCCTGGGATTCACAGCCAGACCCAACCCCAACAATGACATCTGGGGAGAATTTCTCTGCTTGGTTCCTAGCAGTCATCAGGCTGGGCTGCCGAGGGGGGCCAGCAGGATGAGGTGAGGTGCCTGGTCGGGTGGGAATGAGCCACCTGCTGGGCTCCTGCAACCTCGGAGTTTGGTGCGGTCCTGTGCGGCTGTGAGCCTGTCACGTGTGTCCTGCTGTCCCCTGCTCAGCGGTGAAGACAGCACCCAGAGCCGCGACCCCGCCCCTTGCTCCTCCAGGATGATCCGCTGTCCCAGGTGCCTTCTGCTGTCCGCCTGTGTGCACGTGTAGGGGTGGGTGTGCACACGTGTGCTCTGCCCTCGTACACACCAGGCAGGCGTGCACTGCCAAGCCACACCCTCGGCCCCTTCTCTTTATTTTCTGGTTTTCTGAGACAGGGTCTCACTCTGTATTCCAGGATGGCCTTGGCCTCACCACGTAGCTGGCCTGGAATTTAAGGTGATCCTCCTGCCTTAGCCTCTTTGAGTGCTGGTATTACAGGCATGAGCCACCATGCCCGGCCCTTGCTGTATTTTACCCAGAACGGCACAGGCCTGCTGACAGCTCCCGCGACAGTGTTTGTAGCAGCGTTTGAGTCTGGTTGATTTATCTTCGCTGGAAAAACAATTAGTGTAAGAGACGCTGGGTTTCCGTTGAAGGGGAAGAAGGGAGGTTTGCGCATGCTCAGTGGCTGGTGCGCAGGTGCCCTGGGGATAAGCCCAGGCTGCTTCTGTGCCCCCACCCAGCAGTGCACCGGTCCCCTTCTCTGTCCCCACCCGCAGCCAGCAGCGGAGTCCCCTGGCGAGTGACTGTGTGGCTCCCGATGACCCCGCCGTGCAGGGGATCAGGCTTTGAGAATGAGCGCTGAGCACCGCCCCCTGGGCTGATTCCCGACAGGCTATGTGTCTTAGGGCAAATCACTCACCCTCTCTGGGCTTCTGGCATCGGTGACCACACTGAAAAACAAACTCACTTTGTGGATCTGTTTGCAGGATCGCATCAGCTCTGTTGTGACCAGCACTTGTGAGGCCCAGATGGGCATCATGACGTCGCTCATAGGGTAGCAAGC